TTTAATTTATGTAATTGGTGAAAATTTTTGTACATACATTTCACGCTGTGGGAAATATAGAATGTTTAAAACACTTCTGATTCTTTTTCGATTGGGAAAATACGAAGCCAGAGCAAGCGCTAGGGACAATTGTAAGAAACATTTGAAAGTCGAACATTTCTTCCAACATTTTCTGAACTCCGTGTTTCTCTAGTAACTAAAATTCTTTAAGAAGCTTTTAATAGTGGTTAAAATTTAATACTAATATGAAAATTCTTATAATTTTTATCCGCTACAAATTACCTCAAATCTGTCACTTAATAAGTCCGTGCCGTGGCCGTTACTGTTGTTACCTCTTGTAGCTTAGTAGTAAGTGTATTGGTGCGTCAAGCCAAAGGTCCCGGGTTCGATTCCCGGCGAGGGAGTGACTGCAGCAACAATTTTTCCTCATTTGAGTTAATTTATAGTGAATAAAAATTAAATGAATTTTCATATTAATATGAAAAATTTGTTGTTGAAATTTAAAATGGTGATGGTAAGCTTGTACTATATAATATATTCCTTTAACTACCGATAAGTATGTATAAACATATAAAGAGAAGGATGCAATAATAACAGAAAAATATTTCAGTTCGAATACATGTAAGACATCCAAAAGCAAGAGCCCCAAAAACATACATATCGCCGGAGGATGCGGTGCCGCAGGTGATAATAAAGCAAACGCTGTCAACGCCGTTGTTTCACTTTTTGAACGGTTCCGATGAAGACATTATTCCTACGACTATGCGTCAACAGAAAGATGACTTGGAAGGGTTGGGTTTTGATTGTTTTAGTTGCGGCCGTATTTACAAACTCAAGAGCTCATTGCGCAACCATCAAAAGTGGGAATGTGGGAAGGAGCCTCGATTCAAGTGCCCTTATTGCGACTATAAGGGCAAACAGAAGGTTCACATTAAAAGACACGTTCAAAAGATGCATTCGCACTTATCAAACGATGATGTCGAAAAGTCAGCAAGTGGCGAAGGAAGCAAAAAAGATTAAACATGTTCCTAACAATTGGATCTCAATTTTTGCACTATGCGAAGAAAGCCTCGGTTTTTCGATAATTTTGATTTATTTTTTCCTGTTTTTATCCTACGATAAATTTTGTAGTGTAACATTATATTTTCTAGATATAGATACATTATATGGCATTAATACCTTACCAATAGTTTGCAAATGTGTTGCTCTAAATTGTTCGGTTAAACTACGTTGTTCCTTTTCCATTTGAAATACCTCTTTTTGTCTGTGATAAAAATTGACAATAATTCATACTATGCCAACGTAACATGCGGCTGTAAATGTGCCTTTATATTGTTAAGAGTAGTTTTACTTTTTTTATACATTTATACCAGGATTGATTATTTCTCGTCGATATTATTGTATATTTTGACGAAGAAAAAGTTTGAAGTAAGATATATTTTTAATATTCAACTAAAGAAAGAAGAAATCGACTTTTGAATGTTACAGATCTATAAAACAACAATAAATACGGTGACTGGGTTTTTGTAACTTATTAATTGCATATGTATTTTATACCGCCTTGTTTGGATAATATTTTATTGAAAAAATGTCTCGCTTTTATTGTTATCATTCTCAAATGCTTGGTTAGGTTTATTATATGCATTCATTGATATTATTATGTGATTTAAGTATTTTGATTGTACCATTTTATATCACACATTTACCATATGGTGACTTATTGGGAGTATTTTTTATATAAATTAGAGGTTAAGTTACAGTTACGTAGTTGCATTCTTTTTAACTAAAAATATATCATTTTGTATGATCATATAATGTTTCGTTTTTTTTGCGAAATTACACTTCATAATTAATTTAATATTGACGTTAAGAATAGAGCGCGCAATTCCCACTTAACCCTATAGTCCGAACTGTCCACGGCGTGCTAATGGGAACCAAAGAGTTCGAAGTCGCACTTCACGTCTGATAGTTTGTATTCGCCAAATAAAAGTCTCCACCGATTGGCATGGTCTAGAGGTTTAGACCATTACTTAGCATTCGGGAGGACGATTCCGGGTCCGTCTGCCTTGTTCCATGTTTTTCTGTGGTTTCCTATGATCACTTAAGCAAATGCTGGGGCAGTAATAATCCACAGATAATCTTTCACTCTCTTCTGTTTTCATTTCGTCCGTCTCATATTTCTCACCTGAACCACCAACCACCCATTCCCACAATTCCTGAAAGAAGGCTGAAGAGGGCCTTCCGCCTTACCTTCCGGCTTATTACGGAGGGACTGGCTAGTGGGAATGAAACACCCAAAAGTTGTTTTCTTTTTACTTAATAGTCTCCGAGCACTGCACACAAAATTAGTGACTCGCCTAATGAGAGATTCACTTAATCCTTTTTTTATTATTTGAGCGTAAGTTGATATCGCCTACAAATGAACATTTGTTAACGATAATAATGTTAGGTTTCATTTACCAGTTAGTATCCTTATCGAAACACAAGAATGCCACGGTATTTTTGTTCGTTGTAGATGTGCTTTAGTACGTTGTGTTTGTTTTATGTGTAATTCATACATAGTGCCCGAGTATCTACATTGTGTTTTTTTGTGCTGCACTATTTTGTTTGATTTCTACCTAATGCATTTGTGTTTCAGATTATTACTCTGACAAAATATTTGATTGCAAAAGATGCGGCAAGTCGTACAATAAAAGTTACACGTTGACGAGGCACTTAAAGTACGAATGCGGAAAATTACCGGGTTTCCAATGCCCTTATTGCATTTACAAGAGCAAACGAAAGGATGCATTAAAAGCACATTGCATCCATCTTCATGGAAAATACGTGCAGTCGTTTACAAAACACCAATGACTTTTTTATAGACTTAAATGACGGTTGAATTCGTTCAAAGATTATTTGGTTTTGATGTAACGTTTTTAATAAATAATAGAAATTGTAGGAATGTATTTAAGAGAAGCCAATTTTATTATTATAATATTTGAACAATATCCTGTACTGTTTTGTAAGGACTTGTGGTATTTAAGTCTTTGAATTCCTCTGAGAATTATACCAAACCGATCTCCGAATGTACTTATTGGAAAAAATAGTCGTAATTATTAAGTAGGTAGTTTATTTATTCATTTTTTTGTGATTTTATTTATACCTATATATCGAGAGTTACCTGTAGTTTTAAATAAATTGATTTCACATGAATTATATTTATATTTTGTAAGCGCATGATTATACAATATGCGATTATTATCTGTATATAATAATATTTTGCATATTTTTGACGATAATAATTATTTCAGGGAACTTCCAAGATTATGTTGTGGATTCAAGCGGACGTTTTCGATGTAAAAGTTGTGGTTCGTCTTATAAACAGAAGCATAATTTAAAAGTTCACTTAAAATACGAGTGTGGAGTTCAACCTCAATTTTCTTGCTCAAAATGTAAAAAACAGTTCACTCGAAACAGCAGCTTGAAAACTCATCAAGCTCTAGTTTGTAAAGTTTATCGTTTCAATTAGACAAACTAATAGTACAAAAATATATTTAAATCGAACGTTTATACAGTTTTTAAACGTTAGAGCAACTAGTAAGTAATTTTGTGCTTGTGCGGCGAATAAATAATATAACCCATAATCGGCCTGTGTGCTCTCTTGATCCGGCGAGTAATACGAGCTACCGGTAGCCGCTTGTTGGATGAAAAATATAATCTAGCGACGGTCACATGTGACGCTATATATTACGACCCAGTTTCAACCGCTTGTGTGACGAGTAATATAATCGATCACTAGTTGTTTGCGGTGCTGCATATCCGGTCTATTGGTGTGGCGAGTAATTCGATCCAGCGGCAGCCGCAGTGTTGCGGCGAGTAATATAATCCAATAAGCTGCAGCCGCTTGCACTGTGGGAAATATAGTCCAGTAGCAGTCGGTTGCTGTACGGCATCGGTGACTGGGTTTTTGTAACTTATTAATTGCATATGTATTTTATACCGCCTTGTTTGGATAATATTTTATTGAAAAAATGTCTCGCTTTTATTTGTTATCATTCTCAAATGCTTGGTTAGGTTTATTATATGCATTCATTGATATTATTATGTGATTTAAGTATTTTGATTGTACCATTTTATATCACACATTTACCATATGGTGACTTATTGGGAGTATTTTTTATATAAATTAGAGGTTAAGTTACAGTTACGTAGTTGCATTCTTTTTAACTAAAAATATATCATTTTGTATGATCATATAATGTTTCGTTTTTTTTGCGAAATTACACTTCATAATTAATTTAATATTGACGTTAAGAATAGAGCGCGCAATTCCCACTTAACCCTATAGTCCGAACTGTCCACGGCGTGCTAATGGGAACCAAAGAGTTCGAAGTCGCACTTCACGTCTGATAGTTTGTATTCGCCAAATAAAAGTCTCCACCGATTGGCATGATCTAGAGGTTTAGACCATTACTTAGCATTCGGGAGGACGATTCCGGGTCCGTCTGCCTTGTTCCATGTTTTTCTGTGGTTTCCTATGATCACTTAAGCAAATGCTGGGGCAGTAATAATCCACAGATAATCTTTCACTCTCTTCTGTTTTCATTTCGTCCGTCTCATATTTCTCACCTGAACCACCAACCACCCATTCCCACAATTCCTGAAAGAAGGCTGAAGAGGGCCTTCCGCCTTACCTTCCGGCTTATTACGGAGGGACTGGCTAGTGGGAATGAAACACCCAAAAGTTGTTTTCTTTTTACTTAATAGTCTCCGAGCACTGCACACAAAATTAGTGACTCGCCTAATGAGAGATTCACTTAATCCTTTTTTTATTATTTGAGCGTAAGTTGATATCGCCTACAAATGAANATAAATGACTTACTTTTATAAATATTTCGAAGAAGAATAGAAGCTTTAATATTTTATTTGCAGGAAAACTTAATGTGTTGCATGAACGCCTTAGTCTTTAGTCAACCGTAGTTATTGCTTTTGTTTTGCTAAAAGATTTTAATTTATAGAAAACAGGGCAGTTCGTAGACCGATCTTGACGATTCGACCGTACACTTGCAGACAATGTGGAATGACGTTCAAAAAGAAAACCCATCTGCGCTTCCATATGTTCAAAAAATGCGGTGTCACTCCGCAGTATAAGTGTCCCATGTGCCAGAAGATGTACAAGAGTTATTACTACTTGAAGCATCATCTCGTAAAATATTGCCAGTTTAGCAGATAAATCATATATAACTCGCCATACCATTTACGCTTATGATATTAATATTATATTATTATTGTGCTAGGGCTATAAGAAAGGTACGTAGCCAGAAAAGGTTTTGTAATAGGATTCCAAATACCATCGTGATTCAGGATGAAATACACGAACTTCCTCTGCCCTTTATATCTCAAAGGGTATCCTACTATTCTATCCCTTTCATAGCGTTTTGTGGTCTTCTAATTTTTGTATATTTTCATCATCTTCCCAAACCACCGTATCTTAAACGCTTCCAACCCTTTTTTCTATTCTAAATACAATTCACTCCCCTTTTAACCTTTTTATCTTGAGTTAAAGCAAGTAATTGAGATCCTTGAAAATTTGTGGAATATCTTGTTAAACCCGAAGCGTTCAGAATAAACCAGTTAAAAAGCAAAAGTTGAGGATGAATTGTCGTTCTTCATCGATCTTAACATTTGGACCCTTTGACTGCGTGCCTATATATAGAAATATTTATAGAATTGATGTATAATTTAATCAATTACGTTTGTATGTGTGCGTTCAGAAAATATTGTTTTTGGTACATTTGCGGTTTTAATTGTTTTTTTGAGCTCTGATAATTCGAAGTAGGTAATAAATAGGTGAGTAGCAATAACAACAATTCTGTTGATTCTGATTCTATATTGATCTCATTGTCAAACAAAAATGCCAATCTTTAAAATATGTTCAGTTCCAAAGAAAAAGTATTTGTTTTATCATCCAAAGTAAGGTTTCTGTTTATTAATAAATAATGAATAAAAAAAGTCAGTGTTCGCCTACGTATAAATAATAATAAGAAATAGTTAAAAAGCACTTATTATTCTATTGTGTGCTACTAGTTTAGGTGTGCAAATTAACGCATTACCTACATGTAAGGCTTGTAGAAAATATTACAGCTAGTACTAGAATTAAATCTCCAAAAGACTTTTTTATCATATGACTTTATCTACTTATTTTTTACTCTTTTATTACGTTAGAATATAGGATCATTTAATTACGATATGATTGTAATTCTTGTTGTATACACAAACATATATATATATCAATTAATGTATTCCCAATTATTGATCAAATATATACACTTATATACTCTTTTGATGTGCTTTTAAATGTTCACCATCGTGGCCGTTTTGAGGTGTGATAACTTTTATGAAAATTTATTTTGTTTAAAATCTAGAAACTGTTAAACACGACGTGGCTTTGGAAAGACCAATATGTAAAGGATAAAAAGTAAAAATTCTGAATAGCATTCACTAATATCAATTTGTTTCAGTTAGAAGACAAAATGACTTTTCCTGTGATATATGCAACAAGAGATATAAAACCATGGAACAGTTGTGGAGACATCAGCAATACGAACGCAGTAAAAGTATCGCAACTGTTCAGAAAATGTACTTGTCAAATAAATAATTATAATTTATTTATTAATTCGCTGCTAACAATAGGTATTTTGTCCTAAGTGTCAGTGGTGTGCAAGTTCATTAAAGTTCTGATCAACAGGCTGCTTTAAACGCTACAATTACAAACGGTTTTTATCTAATAATAGAGAGGGTTTTTTGATAGTTTTTTATTTTAGAAATTGTACTTAAGTTAGTGGTTTATTTAATAAGTAATCAATACTTGGTATAGTTGGTGCATTTAATGTAATATGTATGAATTGATTTTAATTTTTTAGGTGGAGAAGTCTCATCCGATAATAAATAAGATCAATAGGCTCTACGGCTATTTTAATTTATTTTATTATTGATCGAGCTATCACCTTATTACTTACACTCATTTAATTCGTACATTTTTTAGAGCAAAGAAAACCCTACGTGTGTGATCGTTGCAATAAGGCGTACACAACGAAGAATATATTATCCAGACATATTAACCGGGAGTGCTCTGTCATCCCTAGATTCCAATGTACATTTTGCGGAAAGCGATTTAAACATACACATCATTTGAAAGGTCACATAATTAGTATACACTCCACAATGATGTAATTTTTACTAAATTTTTGCTGTATAGGTCTTGTAAAAAGTTTGTTGATAAGTATTTATAATTCAATTCTCCTATAAAAAATAAAAGTAGCTGTATTTCTCCGTTTATAATGTGAGTTTTATGGGGTTTCCATTACCTATTAAAATAAATATTTTATTTTAAGAGTATGCTGTGCTTGTTTCTAATTGTATATAAGATCAAGATGATGCTTTAACTTTTGTTAATAATAAATACCTACCTGTTTGCTGCTTTTAAACGTTTTCGTATTTTTTTTTTTTAGTTAGACGAAAGAAAGAAAAAATATTTCCCTGTATACGCTGTGGAAGGAGTTATACAAGGAAAGATATCCTTACTCGACACGTAAAGCGCGAATGTCAAGTAACACCCCAGCTTGAATGTGGTTATTGTGGAAAAAAATGTACTTACAAATTTCAGTTACAAGCCCATATAATTAGAAGTCATATGAAGTAGCAACATTAACTTAGTATTTCTGCATAAATAAATTTTGTTGCTACGCATGGTAGGGTTAAGGGAGGCGATATTGAGGTACTGAAAAGGTTGGGGTTTTGTAAAATTTCATCTGCATTTATTACAGCGTTTATATATATTTACGAATTTGATAACTATTACATTGTTTAATTAAAAGATCCACTTATGTCATAGGTTTGCTTTAGATATGTCGTATATTTAAAATGTTAAAATTAAAAATTTCGACTTTAACGTATTCGAAATAGAAATAAACAATTGGAAAAAATTGGACGGGTCTTATTCGGGTGTGTGGTTGGTTACCTACATTCAGGCGTGTAATTGACTGTATACATTTAAATCATGAAAAATTTACTTTCGTCAGTAACAGCCCATCCTACAGCCTCTAATATATATATTGATATTTATAAACAAAATGTATAGGTATGACATTTTTTTACAATAAAGTTTCTTTTATTTGTAAGCGACTGTTTTGGCTCTGTTTTCAATATAATCTGCGTAGTGACAATTCTGTGTGTTTTGTTTGTGTGTTTGCTTACACGTATTTTTATTTGTAGCGTACCAATCTGTGGCTAAATTTAAATGTAATCGTTGTGGAAGAAGATACGCGGAAAAAGGTAGTCTTCGGAGGCACATGAAATGCGAATGTGGCGTCCTACCTCGGTTTGAATGTGGCGGTTGTGGGAGAAAATTCAAACATAAATTTAATATGAAGACGCACATTGGAAGAAAGCACATGGAAAAGTGCACCGGTTCTAATAATATATTGTAGTAAAAGCAAAAAATTGAGTAAGTTGTTACATATATGTATAATAAAAGAAATAATTGCGATAGTGTCCTTATGATTTCATTGAGTGCGGTTACGTATTAGTCCATGTTCTTATAAGGAAAATAGAAATCCTTATGTGACAGCGACTAAGTAGTTGTTTCAGCTTGGTTTTCTTCGCCAAACTTTGTATATTGACAGAGTTTTTTTGTGCTAACGTACCTTTATGTTTGTAGTGAACCAAACCACGGGTAAATTTCAGTGTGGCCGTTGTGGCAGAGAGTACGTAGGAAAGTACACTCTTGCGAGGCATGTGAAACGTGAATGCGCCGTAATACCGCAGTTTGAATGCGGATACTGTGGAAGAAGATTCAAACATAAATTTCATTTAAGAACGCACATTGGCCGGAGACATGCGGAAAAACACCACGAGGCTAATCCTAACAGGTCAAAGTAAAATTGAAAACCGATTAGAGAAGATCGTATAAAAAACACAATAGACATGTGAAGTAATTGGATCATCAATTTAAACCGTTGTATGTTCTGGTAGATTGTAGTCGAGGCATAGAACACACAATGATATGGATCGCGGTGAATTTTGTTTTTTTATTTACAATTCTCGTTACGGATAACCTTTCTATTTTGCGGATAATCCGTATTTTTGGGCGAGTAATCATATTATTTTAGGAATTAGCCGTGTCTTGCAATTATGCTAAACTGTGAGTAATCCGTACTTCCTGGCGAGTGAAGTATTCGTGGCGAGTATCATTCCTATTTAGTTAAATATCCATCTGTTCCGCAAAGGGTACCGTTGATTTGGTTGCAGTCTCACGGCGAGTAACTTTTTTATTTTGTGAAGTATTCGTGTTTCATAGCGAGTACCCTTGTTTGTTACTGAAATATCTGTTCATGTAGCACTAATGGTCTTATTACTTTCCGAACTGTTCATGTTTCGCTGCGAAATTTGCTGATCTCTTTTGAGTTATACTCATTGACTAGTCGTGTTAGCTTAACAAACATGGTTAACAGTACACTTTGGTTCCAGTTGTTTAAGATATCTGTACGTACTTGTTTGCTGTTTATACTTAAAAATGTTCAAAGCTACTTATAAACTAATGCATTTATGTATGTTGTATAAAAAACGCAAGGAAAGTAAATAAAGTGCTGCTTTATTATAAATTTTGTAGTACCTTCTTGTTTTAATTATTGCAACTACCCCTATATGTTCTATTTTAAATACGGAATAGTTAAACTGTTTGTATATAATTTGAAATTGTATATACCTGTTTTTACTGCCTTTTAATTGTAGAATGTTTAGTATTAAAGTGGTTGGTCATCGTTTCTCAATGTATTCACGAATAAATAGCTTCATTAACTTTTCTTTGCTTTTAGAAACGTCAAATTTTCGTCCTAAGCACGAAATAGCAAGGTACCCGTGTAAAAAATTCGTTTGCCAGATTTGTGGGAAAGTTTACATCAACCAAAGAGCGAATTTGTTGAGGCACATGCGTGTGGCCCACAATATGACTGTAAAGAAAATGAATCCGAGGTCTCTTAATGTAAACGTTGTGGCTAAGTACACTTGTCCGTTCTGCGGAAAGGTCTACATTAATCATAAGACCAACCTGACGCGTCATATACGAGCTGTACATACCTAGAAAGTTTTGTAAAGTGATCCACATTACGTATGTATACTTCATTTACTTTCTGTAGCGATGTGCCCCTTCCAATGTCTTGGATGCGCGC